TTTGACCCTAACCCTAACCTTAACGAATTTTAAGAATTTAGTCTTCGCCACCAACCTTGTACACATTTACGATATGCTTATTTTTGATCGTATGACCAATATCTTATAAAAAAATATATTAATGATTAATAAATTGCGTCATACGACGTCCCAACATAAAGGGGTTTTAAAAAAATATAAGAAATAGAAATACCGTATAGTTCCGAAAATAAGCACCACCCCCTCTACCCTGTTTTTTAAATCTCAAATTAGCGGAAATTGAAATGAGATCTTTGACCAAATTACTTCCGCTAATCTGAGACTCAAAAAATTGGGGTAGAGAGGGCGGTGTTTGTTTTCGGAACTATACGGTAATACATTAATACAAAAGAAATTAAAAGTAAATATGCAAAAGAATATAATGAATATTGGAAAATTTACATTTGCTATTGCTAATAAAGATGAAGAATCACGAAAAGTCGATGAATCTCTAAAAGAGATTAACTAAGTATAACTGATAAAGAATTATTTAGAAATGTTTGATTTATATTATATTGCCTGTTTATTTCTGTTTATTTAATATACGCTTTTATTTTAGACACACAAGAAAGTTGGTGCTGGGTTCAAGATTCTAGATACAATTTAAACAGTCAAGTGATAACTATGTGAGAAAGATTGATCCAAATGAATTAACTGCTCCACCTCAAAAAAGAGTTCTACTTGTGTTATTAAAAAACTTTATGGTACTGTACAATTGAAGTTGAATGTAAAAACTTCAAAGAATCTAAATACGTATTCCCAAGGTCATTTAGCAATATTTGGAAAATTACATTCGTAATACATTCACCATTTCTCAAAAAATTATGGCTGAATATTGATCATTAAAAGATCTTTATTACATTTTGCATTTCATAAATATTTTTCAAGATCTTTGGTATGAAAATGTTTTGGTAAGCACTGTTCATATTTCTATTGGTGAGAACTCTTAGAAGTATTATGAGTAAATGCTATTAATACTACTGTATTAAATTTAAATTCTTTTTTTTTTTTTTAAACGTTAACATACGCAAATATATATTTTGGTCACATCAACCAAATTTCGAGTCTAATTTCATTGATACGTAATCTCTAAATGCAATTTCGAAATAAGATACTTCAAAGGTTTTTGACATAAAAGGAAAAATATGAAATAATAATAATTGTTTATAATGAAAAATATACTTTTTTCTTGCAAAACATATAGATAGTTCTATTATTTCATATGTGCTGTAACCTTAATTAAATTATTACCCTGAAATTTTTCTGAAATTACACTTGACCGCTAACGCTAACCCGAAATTTCGCAATAAATTTTCACATTACGCCTGATCAATTTATACAGGGAGGTTCTTAACTAATTTTGCCCAAGATCACTTAAAAAGTTTCCCAGCTTATGGTTGTCTGATTGGTCGATCATGTAGCGATGCATTACGGCGATAATGAATTACAGATTATGTTATTGTGGCCTTTAAGTGTTGTGCATTATTGATATTGTTTCTTTTATTCATGTGATTGCCATTACTAGCTTGTCGACGACCATTTAAAAAGCTGAGTGTTCTCTAGTTACTTTGCAAAATTTTTTTTGAACGAAAATACCAGCAAGATCTGAAAAAATCCGAATCAACCCGAAAGATCCGTAATGCAGCCAATCAATGCATGTTTTTTGTTCAAACTTTAAAAATTCATGTGATTAAGATTTTTTTTTTTTTAACGAGAATTGAAATCGAAATTAGTTTGATCAATAAAAAGAAAAATGGCAACAATGAGATTTGCTCTTAATGTGGCGAGAGCTAAATTTTTCAATGTTGGTGGCGCTGAAATAGTTAAAATAAAGCAAACCACGACAAAATTAATTTCAGTGAGATCACTTACAAATTTTCAATTCTCGAATGCAACATTTATTAAATCCATCAACTCTTCATTTACTCGTAGTTTAACTACTGAAAGTACCAATAATACTATAAATGAAAACAATACGAAACTCGATTTTCCTCATAATAAGCGTAGGCGCACATATATTCCATATTCACCAGAAATAGCTGAAGTAGTTTTATATAATCGTATTAAGTGGATGAGAGATAATTTATATGATCGTGTTAATTATAATTTATTGGAAGGCATGTTTATTTTCTAAATTATACTTTATTAAATTTATTTGTGAATCAATGTAAATATTACTATTTATTATTCTTTGTGGTTTTAATTATCTGTTATATTAACCTTTTTTTTTTTTGTTCTTTTTTTAAAAAAAAAAAAGATTTCACTGCCTGGTTAGAAGGTTGTGGAATGCTTAGATATTCTTCCATATTTGAAGGAATGAGGTGGCAAGATATTATAAAACTAAGCCGTTATGAATTAACATTAATGGGTGTTAAAGATATAGAGTCAGCATGGAAATTAGGTTCATGTTTTTGGATTATAAGATGTAATCTTGTAAGTTTGCTTTATATTATTTAACAGGAAAGTTTAATTGACGTTATATTAATACAAAAAGATCTTTGTAGGATTGCTCATTTTGTTCGATTTATTAATAATGTAGGCAATTCAGGAAGGAAAAAGGCTACCCTTTAAAGGTGGTAAAGATAGAGTTAATGTTGATTTGAAATCACTGGAAGGTTTATATTATAATATATTATTCAATGATAGACGGGACTCTTGATATTTATCTCAATCAATCGATTTTTATTTGTAACTATGTTAATTATTAATTAATTAATTAGACTTCTCTGGGTATCTTAAAACTATTGGTATGGAACAGTATTCACCCGCGTTTAAGGATAAGAATTGGAGAGAGATTATCGATATGGATTATAAAGATTTAAAAGCTTTGGGTATTGATTCTATTAATGACAGAATGAAGTTGATTAAAAATTTTTGGGCTATTAGACGTAAGCTCGTACGTATTCCGTTTTATTTATAACATATTGTTATTATCATTATTTGGATTATATTATTGAAATTTCTAAATATTAAATATAGTATCATATTGAAAGAATTGAGAAATGTTTTATACAAACTGACAAAAAGACTGAAGAACCCAATGATTCTGGGAAGATTTCTAATACTGGATGAATTGAATCTTTGTTGAAGTGTCGCCTGGATTTATGAGCTTAGAAACTAAAAACTCATTATATAACAATTGTATAAAGTCTTTTCAGTTATTTTCTTCAATAAATTGGAAAGATTTCATGTATATTTCATTTGCGACATTAGATGTGCATTTGTTCAAAATAACTAAGATTAGCTCGATTATAGATGTATAATCAGTCTTTATTTTGACATACATATTACTCTATTTGTGTGAAAACTCAAGTATAGTAAAAAAACATCCATTATTATTTAAAAACGTCAAATTTAAAATTATATAATCAATTTAATAAAGTTAGAGGTATGGCCTCACCGTAAAAATTAAAAAAAAATTATATAATCAATTATGACTGTTTTTAAGATAATTTTGATTTGTTAGGTGCCAAAGTAAATACATTGTAAACTTTAAAACCGAAATAAACATTTCAAAATTATAAAAGAAAAAATCTATTCTAACAGAATTGAAGCTTAAACAAAATATTGATAACTTTTTAAAGACATTTGATGCTGTTTGCCGTCCGGCAATAAAAAATTTCAATATTAACACTGTATAATGCGAAAATTTGCAACACCATTGTGCAGTAAGGATTTAAAACAGATGATGATTAAAGTCCGTATAGTTAAACCTGGATTTAGATACATCCAGATCATAACGATTATTATCACCTGGTTTTAATTACGTGTAGTGTAAATTCTACTTGAATCAAATTGTTGATTTTAAAGATAATCGTGGTTTAGTCCAGAAAATTTAGACTCAGACTTTTTGGTTACTCTTAAAAGTGCCCAAAAATGATCATTTCATTAAAATTTTAGGTTGTGTTTAAAGTCCTTAAGACATGACAATAATTTGATTCTAGAAATTTTTCAATCTTTCTAAACTTTAAATTCTAGGCAATACTGCAACTGCCTATTTGCGTAAATATCAGTACAGACTAGAGATACAAATGCCTCACGCAAGATAAACATGGTACATATCTCACATCTCGCGCGACTTGTGCGAGACGCTTATCTCCCGTAAGACAAAAAATTGTAATTTAGCAATATTACAGTCATTAGTGATAAATTATATCAAATTTAAAAACATAAATCATTGACTGCTGTAATTGTACTGTTTACTTAGCTTGCGAAATGCCATAATTATCTCGTGTGAAGCATATTTCTATACCTGCATCAAAAAATACAAGAACATTAGCTTGTACCTATTATAACGTATTTTAAGACGTATGTACGTAAGTATCAGTGAAATTCAAATTTTAATTTAGTTGCGGGTTATATGAATTAAATTGCGCATACGAAGATATCTATATGTCAAAATTCACAAAATTCACAGCGAGACAGCATATACATTTTAAATTTTAATTGCGGCAACTTATAATGTGTTTGCGGTCTGCAACCCAATTTCCGACACTGGTAAGTACACTTTTCTCATATTATTCACGCGTGTAATAAGTAAAGTTTTTTGGGATAATGAATTGCGCATATTCTAACATTTCATTAAGATCTTAAAAAACGAAAGATTTTTATACGACGACGCATTTCTAAACCTGATTGTAATCATTAGCTAAAGTTTTAAAGATATTCATCAGGTATAAAATATAAGCAATTTCTATTTACACATTACGTGTATGCAGTATTTTAAAATTTGATGTTTTCAGTGTTCTCAGAACGCTTAACAATTTTTTATGAACATGAATTATTTGAAAATGTTCTCTATTTGAGAACATTTGATAAATGTTTTTTAAATATTAAAAAAATTTAATTTCTAATACTGAGACATTAGAAGATTTTTGAGAACATTAAGAATTCAAAAAATGCTTTTAAACACTATATGGGCGGTCAAAAGTAGAAACCACCCAAATTGTTTCTAAGTAAATTTTTTCCAGACTTTAAATTAAAATATCTCAACAACTATCAAACCAAACTTGACAAAATTTTCTTTATTTTAATTTTATATAGTTATAGAATTAAAATAAAAAAAATTTATTAGGTTTGGCTTAATAGTTGTCAAGATATTTTAATTAAAAGTTTTAAAAAAAACTTATTAAAACCAATTTGGGTGGTTTCTACTTTTGACCTCCCATATATTAAGATCCGTGAAACGTAAAATTTTACGAAAAATTGGTTCTCGACTATGAAATAGGGTTCCGCATAGGCTGAACTATCCGTAGAGAATCCATGGAGAACCCATAGATTGGTACCACATGGGTCAAGCTTGGTTTCAAAATTTTGGATCCAGTACAATTGGATCCAGATTCAAAAGCCCATGGATAGTCTATATTTAATCTGATTGGCCAAAATTATAGATGCCATCATCGTTATCGTTATCATTATCATTGACGTCAAATTACGAACTCATTCTTATTTTATTAAAATATAGTTTATGCAATTTGGATCCATGGGATTGTATCATGCGGTCATGGGCTGGGCTTTGGATCTATCCAATCAAATATGGGTTGGATTTGGACTTTGAAATATCAATATCCAACCCAGCCCGGCTCTTGTGGAACCCTATTATGAAAGGGTTTTAACAAAAAAAAAAATTCCATTCTGTCCTAACACTAAATCTACCTTTGTTTTTTTTATAGTTGTTACATGGATTTGCGAGGGATCAACGTGGGGCTGATCCAACTTGAGGTGATTGGATAGTTTTTGATTAGTAATCAAAAGTCAGCCAATCACATTTATCGTCTCAATTTGGAGCAGGCCTCGCGTTAGTCCCTCACAAGGAAATTTTATGAATTTCTCATAACTTATTGAGTTTAGTAAGAAGTTTAATCAATAAAAATTTTATATTAAAATTTTGCATAACATTAAATAAATTGTATATATATATTAAAAAATGTACATTTATATAGTTCATTGTTTTAATTTGTAAAAAAAAACTTTAATGCACAAAATTACCGATATAGTAAACTTATATATCTTTTAATGTGCAATAATTGTATAGTGACTACGTATATAGAAACTACCCGATGCACAGCAAAAAGCATGTACAGTACGCACGCGTATATTTTTATTTTGGTCAGATTATTACAAATAATCTTATTACAATTTCTATAATGCAAAGTAAATTATAAATTTGACATTCTACTTTGTTTACATTAAGGAACCTTTATAATATTATCACATGCAAATTTTTATAGATTCTAAAATCAATTTGCAAAACTTTATCCAATTAACAATAATTAAATATTTAAAAAGTTCATTAAATTATTACTGATTACGATAAAAACAAAAGTAATAACACCTAGCGAAATTTCTTCAAACATTGAAACTTGATACTGTTTACTTGATCCACTGCTTATTGGAGTAGGAGAAATAATAGAATTTGTAGGACTACTTAACGGACCATTATTTACATCACCGGTATTATCAGGCGTTTGTTCTGAAATTGTTGCGGAATAAGTTGTGGTTGTTGCGGGATAAGTTGTGGTTGGTAAAATTTTTGGTGGATCGAAGCCCGGGATAGTACCTTTTGTTCCATTGATCGTAAAAAAACCAGAGAAATCTACGTATGAACGGTGTCGTGAATCTGTATATTTAAGAAAGCTATAAAAAATTTATGAAAAAAGTTATTAAATGTTAGCAGGTGTATTAAGAAATGGAATAATATAAAAAGATATGACATACTAAAAATCTCCTGGGGGCCCCAGTTTCTCTGGTACTTTAAATTTATGCCTTCGAGCTGTTCCTTTAATATTTTTGGCAATAGTTTTAACTTCAAATTGCTTAGTTGAATTGCCTATATCATTATTAAATCATTATTAAATCATTATTAAATCATTATTAAATCATTAAATATGTCGACATACATGTATAAACAATAAATGTGGAAGCTGAAACTGAAATTAGTTGAAGTTGAGACTGACTTGAGATTCCATTTAAACCTACCAAAACTATTCATTACGGCACATTTATCAAATTAAGCTATAATTCATTCATCAATTCAAGTATTATGTCCTCAAATTTAAATTTTAGTTACATAATTACATATAATCGATCAATGCTAAATTCTGAAGTTTTTGGGTCTCTGATCTATATCTATAACTCGTCTAACTCATCTTCCCTACTACCTAGCTCAATAGACATCTCCCAGGATATTAATTTTCAAGTTTTGGATATTTTATAAATGCGCCGTAATGCAAAATCCATTTATATTCTTTCATACTTTTTGATTAACAACTCTAATCCTAAACCCTAACGTAAATGACCCGAAATTTTTTAAAATTTCATATTAAAATAGGTCCAATTTTCAGCTTCAGCTTCAGCTGTCACAAGTGATATAAAAAATTTGATCGA